AAATTATCTGTTTTGGTGATTTATTTACTTTCGTGAATGACCAATGAACAACAGGATTTTATTACCAATCAAGAGATTTTCAAGTTCCTGGACAGGTTAAAGCGCATTCTATAAAATCATTGATTACAATTGGGAATTCATGGCAGGAAATATGCGAGCTTCCTATAAAACTCTAGTTTCATAAGTATTCGACATGTGAATATTCTAACGAAATATATAGAAAAGTTTCTAAATAGTGACTAGGTACCATTCATATTCATCTTTAAATGTCTACAATTAGTCCGGCTACCATGACACGATGTACGATTACTTAACTATGTGGTTTTCTTCAGTAAACAGTCAAACAGGAAAACTTACCGACCTATATGGTGATAATTCTTGGGTTCATGATAGATTGTAGATCTTTTACAAAAGCTGGTAACAGACAATTAAGAAATTAAAATAAATCTGAATGAAATCAAGAGTCAATTGAAGCTAGACCACCATGGGAAACCTGGAAGTACTGGACGGCCGTTTCGCCCTAGTATGGGACTACTCAGCAGTGCGCATCCACGATCCCGCACCCCGCGAGATTCGAACCCGGGATCTATCAGTTTCGCTGCAGGCGCTTAGCCAACTAGATCACTGAGCTGGGATCCAATGGTGTTAATCTCTAACTTCAACCAATCCACGAATGACTTAAGTTTATGTTCTTTAATGCATGTGATGAAAAACACTGACCTAGACATTTGAGCAGATTGTTTACTTAATTACAACATATACAAAGCATTCATCATATTTATTAAATCTATAAAAGAAAACATTGAATATTGACAAAACATTTGTGGAGATTGTAGTAAATACAAACATTCATTCATTGTCTGAAGTAGATAGCTATCTCTATCGGATATGGATTGGACTCCAATGGTCACACTTTCTCACTAGAACTCCTAGTATTCATCTTGAAGCTAGCCACTAGTGAGCATATGATGGGGTTTGTGGAAATTGTAGTAATTCTAATAGTTAAATTAATGATATAATGTAAGCTAGACCATCAATGAAAATCTGGAATCATTGGACGACCGTTTCGTTCTGGTCCTGAGTTGGAATCCCACATGCGGAATCATGGACGCACACTGTTGAAGAGTCCCATATGAGGATGAAATAGTCATCCAATGATTTCAGGTTTTCAATAATGCTCTAACTTATATCAACTATTTGAAATAAGTTTTTTTCTTCTATTTTTATCCCAATCATAAATCTGATTGGTCAATTTATTAACAACCAATCAAATTAAGAATAAAAATGATGAATGGGTAAATAAATTAAACTACACTCCCATTTTAATTCCATATAGAAATATATTCATCATCTACTTATTATTATTAATCATTGACAATCTAATCACTATCCAATTCAATTATTCAATCATCAATTGTATATAAAATACTTTTTTTCGGGGGGGGGGAGAAAGGAACTATACTTATCCTACTACTCATATGTATATATCAGCAGTATATTAGACAAAACAAAACAAACATATTATGTAATTAATCTTAACTGGGGTATATTCTTCAATAAGAGATAAGAATAAACATATTTATAAAATAGAAAAGAAAATTATACATTTAAAGATGTGGTTCCTTATACAATGTATTCATATCTACTTATTAGTACAATGTAATACAGATGCCGTTAAAGGTAATTTTATGTATTTCATTTGTTTTTAAGTGTTTTGATAAGTAGTATGTATTTTACTTTTTCTTTATTACAAGAAAGTATCTAAATGCCCTGGTATGACCGAGTGTGAGTAGAGTCAGTTCTCCCCATTGAAATCCCAAGCTCCCGATTTTGGGGAAAATTTGGGGAAGCTGCTATAGTAAATTTTGGGGAAATGGCACAAAAACCCCAAAATTTCCCCACACGTTGGGAAAGTTTCCCCGAAATTCCCCAAAGTTGGGAGCTTGGGATGCTCTCACATGGATATGTGTATAAAGTCACTGCCAAGGAAGTCCTGGGGTGTTGTTTACGAAATTGAGATGATGAAAAGCCAATGTTCGGTGTTTTAACCGGGTTGATGGATATGGAGGATCCATCTAGGGGGAATTAGAGAATCCTCATTCCAAACTGATGGTGTAACTGAGCTCCAGGATCCTGGAAGAATAGATGGTGTATAAACCAATTATTGGTCACTGAATACCATAGGACTGCATCTCCTAACGTTGCTCCACTGCCTTGTGGATCAGATCTTCAGGTCGAAGGCGACGGGATTGTCTCCCTATATAAACCACCTGTTTCGGTCTAGTAGCTCGGGCAGTATCACAACCTACACACACAATTGAAGTGACTTGTATGGCGCATATCTATTCGGTACCCCTTCGTACCAATATTTATGTGTTCAAATAAATAAATGATAAATATTACAAGAAAACCCTTCATTCGAAATATACTTGTCTAATGACCTATTTGGAAATCAGTTTATGGAGTTTTAATGAGAAGTTATGAATGGTATTCATGAAAATTATTGAATAGCTCATTCTTCCTACTTTTTTGCAATGGATATTTACAATTTCGCCAAGGGTAAAGGTCAGACATTTCATGACTCATAGTAGTTAAATGTTAGTTCTTTGATCAAATTTTAAATTGTACAACTCAAACTTCCATCAATTTGAAGTAGAGCGTGAAGACCATACAATCCAACTGATGACAACTCTTAGTTATTCCAGAGTTGTCCGAATAAGTTGAATGAGGTGTACCTTGTAATCAGTTGAGGTTATTTTCTAACCAAAACAAATGGTTTACTAAGGGGGCCACACCCCGAGACTTCAACCTGAAGGTTTGATCCACAAAGCACTGGAGGAATTTGAGGAGATGTAGTCCCATGTTAGCCGATGACCAATAATTTGTTCACACACCATTTCTTCTCACAGGATACTGGATCCTATGTACACCATCAGTTTGGAATCAGTTTTCCAACTCACCTAGGTGAATCCTCCATATCCACTAAGTCGATTAAAGCACCGGACATTCGCTTTTCATCCTCTCAATCTCGTAAACAGCAGTAATGCCTCGAGAAGGTAGTGAGTAGGGCTCCCTTGGTAGTGGCTGTATGCAAGTGTTTATGTGAGAGCATTTCCAGAGAGAGAGAGAGAATTGAATCTCCCCACTCTCTTCCGTACCAGAGTATTCGAGGGCTATTTTGTAATGCTTGAGATTATTCATCGCGCACCTAAGATTATTCTACCTTATTCGATTTTTCACCTAAAAATGATCAAGTTATTTATAATGAATATTAAGCTTCGAATTGACTTACCAATATTCGTTACTTCCAGCGACACGGTATAGAAAATTCTTCTTGTGCACGAGCGGAAACATTTGCATAGTTGGGTCGGTATATTCATTCATGCTAATCAACTTAATCAGTCCCAATCAAACATTTATTTATTTATTCATCTTGGGAACATCAGTTTCCAGATTAATTATTGTGCAGGGAATAGCTTTTTCACAGGTTGAAATCATGAGTCAGTTGAAGCTAGACCACCATTGAAAACCTGGAAGCACTGGACGCCCGTTTCGTCCTATCGTGGGACTCCTCAGCAGTGCGCATCCACGACCCTGCACCACGCGGGACTCGAACCCAGGACCTACTGGCTTCGCACGCGAGTACTCAACCACTAGACCACTGAGTCGGCATCTGACGGTGTTAATGTCTAACTTCAACCAATCCACGAAGTTGCGCCACCGTACACCATTGTCTTCAGTGAGTTGTTATCTCACAACAGACCTGGTTGAACTCCACTGGTAACGGCTTCTCACTAGAACTCCAGGAGTTTTTCCTGAAGTCAGTTACTAGTGAGCAGTTGATTATTATCAGAATGGGCTTTGTGGAGATTTTAGAAATTTCACAGGTTGAAATGCCGGCTCAGTGGTTTAGTGGTTAAGTGCTCGCGCGCGAAGCCAGTAGGTCATGGGTTCGAGCCCCGCGTGGTGCGGGATCGTGGATGCGCACTGCTGAGGAGTCCCATACCAGAACGAAACGGCCGTCCAGTGCTTCCAGGTTTTCAATGGTGGTCTAGCTTCAACTGACTCATGATTTCAACCTGTGAAATTTCTAAAACTCTCCACAAAACCCATTCTGAGAATAGCTTTTTATATAGTGTTAAGAAATAGTTTATCTATAATCAATATAATTTGGGACAGTATACATATAAAAACTAGTAAGTTGATCACAAAATTTATGATCATGCATTCCACTGATTGTTCTTCATATCAGAAGGGTTGTTTGTGAATATTATAGTAAGTTCAATGGTTGAGATCATGAGTCAATGGAAGCTAGTCCACCATGGAGAACCTGGAAGCACTGGACGGCCGTTTCGTCCTATTGTGGGACTCTTCCTAGGTTCGAATCTCACGAGGCGGGATAATGGATGCTCACTGCTGAGGAGTCCCATAATAGAATAGTGGGGAAACATCATACGTAAACGTTAGTGGACAATGTTGTAACTATTATGTGGGACAGTAATTCCTTCATACTATCAGTTAAACATGCTAGAAATCTAGGTTCAAGGTAAGCTTTCGACATATTTAACATTAAATATTCATATTATCAAAGAGGGGTCTTATGGATATTATTGTAATTTGATAGTTGAATTCATGAGTCAATTAAAGCTGGATCACTATAGAAAACCTGGAAGCACTGGACGGCCGTTTCGTTCTGGTATGGGACTCCTCAGCAGTGAGCATCCACGATCCGGTCCGGCGGGATTCGAACCCAGAACCTATCGGTCTCGTGTGCGAACACTCAGTGGTCTAGAGGTTATTCGTCCGCGTACGAGACCCATAAATATTTCTATGCTTGAATAGTTTTTCATTTTTAATCGGATTATTTAAGCGTGATCTAGTAATATTGATTAAACATTTTTACTTAAACTTTTCATTGATCTGAATAACATAACTCACTACTACTTATAATATTGTTTACTGATTAACTTTCAGTTGTTCATCCACCAACGTTTATCAAGATGCCACCGTCTATAGCTTATATTAATCCAGAAGAACCTTTATTAATACCTTGTTATGCAAAAGCCAATCCAGAACCAAGGTAAGTAAATATTGAATTATTCAATGTATTGATCAATACATTTTTTATGGATGTGTTTAATCCAGGTAATTGGAGGTTATATTGATTCAATAAGAGCATAATTTCTTATAAGAGAATCTAGGTACGCGTTGGAAATTTTTAACGGAAGAAATATGATAGTCAAATTATGCCTCATCTGGCTAGTCGGACAGTACGGATGAAGAGTTTACATTTACTTGACATAGTTGTGATCTGTAATTCGATTTATTAATACAAGTTGTCCATAAAATAAGGGAAGGTTCTACGTGAAAACATGTATTCACAATATGAAACATATCTTTTTTCAATGATAAATAGAATTTAGTCGATCCCATACGTTTGTAAAACTTATTCAAGCTATTATTAGTTTTATGAGTATGGGGTTGTGGAGATTATTTATTTTTTGATTCACATCATGAATCGATCAATGTTGGACCACCATTGAAAACCTGGAAGTACTGGACGGCCAATTCGTTCTATTGTAGGACGTTTAACCTATAGACCACCGAACCGGTCGGTATCCAACGGTGTTAATGTCTAATTTCAATCAATCCACGAAATTACGCCATCATCTTTCATTGTACTGAAGTTGATACCTGTCGTTACCCGACACGAATTAGCTCCATTGTTCATGGCTTCTCACTAGAACTCCGAGAACTCCCTCACGAACCTAGTCACTAATGAGCACACGGTAATTATCAGTATGGGATTAGGGAGATCATTAAGTTTTTGATTGAGATCATGAATCCTTTGATACAAAGTATCACCTATTTTTCCAAAATTATTTTAAATTATCTTGGTTCTGAACAATTTGAAATATATTTCCAATTAATCTGTCTGACCTTATGAAATATGATAGAGGACATTAGATATCTTACCGTTAAGTTAAGCCATACATATATCATTATCCTATAGCACAATCGGTTAAAGCTGGTTAGATAACCATTGAAAAAGCAGAAAGAAATACGTATGGAGTTCCATGGCAGTGAGCATCCACGATCCCGCTAAACATCAAATTTAGTACATTCAAGTCTCTCAATAAGGCCATAGACTAATGCCATAAATGAGTAGTAACTGTCTCACTTCTTACATAGTTGAACTTGATTGACCACAACTTTTCAGTGAAACTACAGGAATTATTTTATATCAGTTTGGAGTTGTGGAGATTGTTTAATTTTGATTGAGAATATGAATCGATCAATGTTAGACCACTATTAAAAACTTGGAAGTACTGGACGGATATCTCGTTCTAGTATGGGACCCCTTAGCAGTGCACACCAACGATCCTATAGCAAGTGGACTCGAACCCGGAATCTTCGATCTCACACAAGAACGCTTAACATCTAGACCACACCCGACATCCAACTGTGTTAATGTCTACCTTCAATCACTCCGAAAAATTGCACCACCATCCAACATTGTCTTTATTGAGTCACCGTCTCATAACAAACCTGGTCAAACTCTACTGGTCACGGCTTTTCACTAGAACTTCAAGAAATATCTTTCGAAGCCAGTTACTAGTGAGCACATAATGATAATTATCAGAAGTGGGTTTTGTGGAGATTTTAGTAATTTAATAATTGAATTCATGAGACAATTAAAGCTATACCATCATGAAAAACCTGGAAACACTGGATGGTCGTTTCGTTGTAGTATGGGACTCTTCAGCGTTGTTATCCACGATCTCACATAAAAGAGACTCGAACCCAAGATTTTCGATTTCGCGCGAGAACTCTTAACCTCTAGACCATAACCAACACCAAACAGTGTTATTGTCTATATATATATTTGTCGAAAGTCGAGGGTTTTTGTAAAAATTTACAAACTCAAGCTAACTTTTACCGTCGTGAATTATTGTATTCCATTTTGGTAACTTGGATCTCTTTTTCTCCCTCTCTGTCTCTAAGTCAAGCATAAAAAACCCTACTTTTATTCTTCTCAGTTTAGGGGTGGTGGAAATTGTTATGTTATTGATTGAGACCATGAACCAATTGATGTTAGACTACCATTGAAGACCTGGAAGCACTAGATAACTGTTTCGCTCTATTATGGGACTCCTAATCGACAGTGCATATACACGATCCCGTTCGCCGGATTCGAACACAAGCCCTTCAGTCTCGTGCACGAACGCTTAACCTACTAGACCACTGAGCCGGTCGGTATCCAATGGTGTTAATGTCTAACTTCGAACAATCCACGATATTGCGCGACCATCTTCCATTGTACTGAGGTAGATACCTATACTCTACCTGACACGGATTAGCTTCACTGATCACGGCTTCTCACCAGAACTCCGAGAACTCCGTCACGAAGCTAGTCACTAATGAACACATGGTAATTATCAGTTTAGGGGTTGTGGAGATTGTTAAATTTTTGATTGAGATCATGAACCGATTGATGTTAGACCACCATTGAAAACCTGAAATCACTGGACGGCCGTTTCGTCCTATACTTCTATGAACGAATGAAATCAAGCACATTTTCCAGTATTCTCCCTCACTCACTCACTCTTTCTCTCTCTCTCTGTCTGTCTCTTATTCGGTCTCATTTCAATTTCCTCTTCATAATGATAATTATTTACATGTTATTTGTCTAATTTATATGCTAATAACATGATAGTAAACCATGTAATGACACATCATTTCATCATGGTGATAAATAATGTTTATCTACCTTTAACAAAAAAAAACAACCTAGTACCTTCTTCTCTATTATCAATCTATCTCATATAAATCAATATCGAATCTTATTCAATTCTATGTTAATGTTTATTTAAGTAGTATTAATAAGTAGACATATATAGTTTAGACTGATATTAACATAAAGTAAATCAACAATGATATTCATTTATTGTTTTGTTCTTTTTTACAATACTAACTGATAGATTACAAGATTATGATTGTAATTTGTCTAGACGTATATTAAATGTACATAGAATAAGTTAAACCAATATAGTGTGTATGATTTATTATGAATAATAAGGTCAAATTTATGAACTTAAAAACAGCACAAGAAGGTAATTATCAAGAATCAGTAGGTAGGTGGATCATATGATAGAGTTTGAAGCGAACAGTACTAGGTTCGAGTCCCCGGGTGAACATTAACAAGACTGAGATACGAGTACATCAAGCTGACGAGTCCCAAAGAAGACGAAACATGCGACCTCAATTCCGCTGATAGTCACCTTTGCTTATAATGCTTGTGAATTAAAACAATAACGAGGCAATATGCATAGGATGAATATATGCTAATAGGAGAAAAACTGATCAATTGCCACCTTAAACACCAATGGAAAGATTCATATCGAACAATACTAAGTGAATTTAAACTTCACCACATTGCACAAGCAAGTGGCATCAACACTCAGTAGCTAAGTCGATCATATGATGGCATTTGGAGCGAATGATACTAGGTTCGAGTGTCAGAGTGAACATCAACTGTGAGATACAGGTACATCGAGCTGACGAGTCTCGAATGGGACGAAACGCGTATGCTGAATTCCACTACTACACACTATCCACGTTTACTTATAAAGACTTTATTCTTAGTATACTTTTAAATACTTATAGCGAAACTGATATGCGAGATGGAAGAAGATTGGCAGTTAAGAAATCAATAACATCGTTTATTATGATACTTTTAAGATTATACAACCCATGGTGCTAAGATATATAAGTATATAAACAGTGAAAGATAGAGTGACATTTCTAGTGTCCAATTCGTATTAAGTGTTGCTTTTTTATTGTTTAACAATGAATGACAAATACCATGGATCCTATTGTTTCAATAAGTTCAGTCTAACTAGAACTTATTTCTCTCCTGATGGTATTTAATCCACATGAATTGTAAGTCAGAATAATCGTTCAGTTTAAGGATTTGTATATTATAAACAGTTCTCATACAACTAAGGTATATGAATTTGTCATTCATTGATAATTATTTCAGTGATTAAGATCATGAGTAAATTGAAGCTAGATCACCATGGAAACCCTGGAAGCACTGGATGGCCCTTTCTTCCTGTAGGTTATTTGTATATGAGATCGCATATGTTACTTATTTAGGAAGTTTGGAATAATTTTTTCAAGTCATCCGTTTTCTTCATTAAACATATGGAATAGACACTAAAAAATTCTATGTACATAGTAAACCTGAAACAGCTTAACATTACAAGAATATTTTTGACGAGTATTGGTTGTATTAAGTGTAAACTAAGAGGCTTACGTCTGACTACCATGGAAAACCTAGATATATTAGATGGCCATTTCGTTGTAGCATAGGATTTCTCAGAAGTGAACATCCACGATCCCGCACGTCGCACTCGTACTCAGGACCTTCAATCTCAAGGGTGAACGTTTAATTTCTACACCACTGACCTGCCATCCAGTAGTATTAGTATTAGTATAGTATTGTATCAATTCATGATATTGCTCGATTTGCTAATAAGAAAGAGACTGATCAATTGCAATCCTAAACATCAACAGAAAGATTAAATAAACCAATGCAAAAAAACAACAAATTTTTACTTGATTCACTTGGTGTTGTTTTACTTGTATCCTCCAATCGATGTTTAGGACTGTAATTGATCAGTCTCTTATTGGCATATATGCATCCTTTGTGTATTGCCTAGATATTGCCTTAAGTCACAAGCTTTATATGCAAAGATGAATGGTGGCTACCAGTTGAATCCAGGACTCGTGTTTCATCCTATTTTCGGACTCATCAGCTGGATGTACTTGCACTTCACTTGTATATTAAACTATTCTATTTCAATTTATCCTTGAATCCACTATAATTTTAACAAACAGAATGTACTACTCAAGTAATTTCTATCAAAACATAGTTTCAGTGTTTGTGATCATGAGTCAATTGGAGCTAAACCACCATGGGAAGCCTGGAAGCACTGGATGACTGTTTCGTCCAATCGTTGGACTCCTCATCAGTGCGCATTTACGATTCCGCTTCGCGAGATTTGAACCCAGTAT